TTAAGTCACCAGGTCTGGGAATCGAACTGCAGTCAACTACATGGGAGTCCAGCGACATAGCCATTATGCCATCTGTTGGTCCTAAGAATGCTTTCTACATTTTTAAAGAACTATAAAAAAGTAGAAACAAAAATATTTCATGACAATATGAAATTCAAATTTCAGCACTATAAAAAAGTTTTATTGGAACACAGCCATGCATTTTCATTTATATTGTCTGTAGTTGTTTTCACACCATTAAGTGCCAAAGTTCAATAGTATGAGACCATATGGTTCAAAAACAAAAAAAACAGCCACCAAGAGAAAAGTCTGCCAATCCTTCCTTCAGCATGTGAGTCCTACAAACAAGGATATTAACCTACGTATCATAATACAACCATCAATGTCATACAGTTAATATTGACACATCATTGCCATGGAATTCACAGACTCCATTTAAGTTTCATATGGTATCCCAATAATATCCTACACAGCCAAGGATCCAATCCAGGGTCATGTTGGCATACTTTCTAAAAATCTGCCAGAAAAAGAATGGGAGAAAGTGAGAAAGCACCCCCAAGAGGAATGATCATGCTGCAATCCCTTCTCTCCCATTTCTCCTTCCTTTTAGGATTTCGCACACGCAAGCATACACACCCAGAATGTTTTTCTTTCTTTAAGAGTGATTTTTGCTATAGGACATGTGCACTGGTGAGAGGGACAGAGAGACAGAAAGTGAGAAATCAGGCCCTGGGGGATGCCCTCGCTACAATCCCTTCTCCTCCATTATTCTCTCAGGATTTTGGGCACCCACACATACGTGCCCAGTTTGAGTTTGAAGCCTTCAGGTTCAGGACTTGAACCACAGTCAGCCATGTGGAAGTCCAGTGACATAACCACTACATCACCTACTGTTCTCAGAGTGTTTTTCAAACCACTAGATCCAGGACTCAAATCATGAAGTCTGCTGACATAATCACCAGGCTGGGAGCTAGCTCCACATTTACATTTAGCTGTCAGGTCTTTGATCACTGTCAATCAAGGATAGTCTTTCCTTGACTTTCATGACGTCACACTTTTGAAGATTGTAAGTCAGTGATTTTGTTTTCTGGGTTTTTAAAATAATTTTTTAAAGAATTATTTTATTGGGACCAGCAGTTAGCATAATGGCTATGTCGCTGGACTCCCATGTAGTCGACCATGGGACAAAGAATTATTTTATTTAATTTTATTCATTGTCACTATTTTAATTTTTTTTTTTTTTTTGAGAGATTTTCTTTTCTTGCTATAGGGCGCATGTACTTGCCAGAAAGACAGAGAGATAGAAAGCGAGAAATCACCCCCCAGGGGGGGATGACCACACCACAATCCCTTCTCCTCCATTCTTCTCTCAGGATCTTGGGCACATATGCACATGCGCTGGGCGTGAGTTTAAGTCACCAGGTCCAAGACTTGAACTGCAGTTAACTACATGGGAGTTCAACGACACAGCCATTACGCTAACTGCTGGTCCCTCCAAGGACTTTTTTTTTTCCTCCAAGGACTTTTTAATTGGACTTTTTAAGGGACTTACTTGTGACTGATGGCATTACATCAGTACAATGACCTTTAGAACATCAATCAATACAAACCTTAATTTTATTAATCTTTGTAACTCTTCAGTTCTTTCAACATAACTAAAACCCTCAACAATTTGTTTTAGACCTTTTAGTTTTTGTCTCTTCGCTTCCATTCTGAGATAATCTAGCCATTTTATCTTCGGACAAAAACTTTACTATAGGTTGGTCTCTGCCATCTGAAAGTTGACAACTTCTTTGCATTCGGGAGGCTGCTCCCAGTGACTCTGCAGCTGTCACCATGCCACAAAACAAATATATTGAATTACATCGTAAATGCTATGGATACCATTTGGATTACCATGAGAAAAAGAGAAAGAAGGAAAGTTGGGAAGCTCATGAATGTTCAAAGAACAAAAAAGATTATTGGTCTGAAGACTAAGCTCTATCATAAACAGCGCCATGCTGAGAAAATACAAATAAAAAGACTATCAAGATGCATGAAAAGAGGAACACCAAACAGAAGAATGATGAAAAGACTCCACAAGGAGCAGTACCTGCCTATCTGTTGGAGAGAGAAGGACAGTCCCGAGCTAAAGTACTTTCCAACATGATTAAACAAAAATGGAAAGCAGTTCAAGTCCAATGCCTGGCAGCTTGAAAGTCACACCAGAGCGTGTGTGTGCATGCCCAAAATCCTGAGAAGTGAATGGAGGAGAAGGGACTGGAGCATGGCCATCCCCCCTGAACAGTGATTTCTCATTTTCCCTCTCTGTCTCTCTCCAGCAAGTGTACACACCCTATGACAAAAAAACTTTAAAAATTTTATAAAAATTAAATAAAATACTCTGTGAAGAACTTGGCACTGCCCCATGCTCAGTAAATGCTGGCTAGCATTATATGTGGCCATTCTGAAACATAAGAACCCTGTGTTCATGCCCACTTGCCAATGTTTGAGATAACACCTTACATAATACTGAATTGGGTAAATGTTAACTAAATGTAATGTTTAATTTTGAAATAGTTATTTCTTGGATTTAGCTAATACTGCTGCCTCTCTACAATGCCACTTGCTGAGGGCTGATTGTAGGTAAAAATTGAGAAACTCCAAAAATTGGTAATTAAATATAAATTCTTAAAGATTTTAAAATTTATGTTATTATTATGTTTTAACTTGACCAGAGATAGAGAGAGAGAAAGAAAGAGAAAGTGAGAAAGCACGCCACTGAGTTTAAGATTTGAACCGTGGTCAGCCATGTGGGAGTACAACGCCTTAACTACTATGACATCTGATGGTCCCTTAAATACACATTTTTATGGAAACTTTCATATATAGAGAGTTTTGGGGGGTTGTTTTGTTTGTTTTAATTTACAGCAGGGTGTGTGTGCTGGAATAGAGACAGAAAGTGAGAAATCACCCCCCACAGGGGAGAACAAACCACAATCCCTTCCTCCTTCAGTTTCCTCTTAAGATTTTGGGCACACACGCCAGCATGATTTTCAAGTCACTAGGTACAAGACTTGATCTGCAGCTAGCCATGTGGGATCCAGTGCATTAACCTCCAAGCTACATGTTGACCCTGCTGTGTTTTCATTTTTTAAATGTCCAAAAAGTCATTACCTTTGTGCTCATTTCATTCGCCAAGATCCTCATCAAGTGACTGCAAAAATTTCATAGACATCTGTCTATGGAAAAAGCCAAGCTCATTTCTGCCCCAGGACCATCCCACTTGCCATTCTCTTTGTCCAAAATGCTCTTCTCTTAGATATTTTACCTGGTGCCTTTATTTCACTCTAGTCTTCTTTAAAATGCCACCTTTTCTGTAACTCTGTCCTCCCCCTTTCACGGTGTTATTACTTTTTACATTTATCACTAGCTGACATATATCTCTTCCTATGTTGACAGCCAACTGCCCCAACTACGATTTACGAGTACTGTTCTATTCACGAGTACTGTTCTATTCACTTGGTAGGAGACGGGCCCTGAATAAGTCTTTGTGGAACGAATGAATAAATGACTCCAGCAAGGTACAGAGAAGATAGGGACTTGCCCACATTCGCACAAAACTAGTAAGTCTTGGTCCCAAACCTCGCTGCAGCTTCCCGCTATAACGCAGGCTCCCAGGGAGTACCAAGTAAAGATGGAAGAGGTTGGCAGAGAGAGGAAGGCGGCAGAGGCGTGAGAGGGTCTGCGCAGTTAGGGCATGACTCCCCCCGGGACGAAATTTACAAACGTGGAATACCGAAGGCACCTCGCCATCGGGGTGTGAGCTCTCTCATTCCCCTCCCCGCCCCAGGCCTCCACTTATGCGTCTGTGAAGCGAAGGGGGCAGGGAGCAAAGAGCTAACGTCTCCCACGGACCTGCCGTCCTTCCATGCCCCATCCCACCCGGAGCCACGCTCCCACACCTCGTGCTCCCTCAGCTCACCCTACAATTCAGCGAACGCTCCAAGTCCGCCGCCGGAGACCGCGCTTCCGCCCCACGCCGCGGCAACGGCTGCGCCCGCCGCCCGGGAGGGCCCGCGG